TAGTTTCTAACAACTTAACTTTGTTGTTTTAGGTACATGGACACAATCGTTGTAGACCAAGGTCGGTCTTCCATGTACGGATTTGTTGAACCTCAGACCATTCAACCTTCTGGTAACACACTTGAAAACAGACAACATTATTTGCAAACATGGATGGATGAGTCAAAAAGAGACGTATACTTTGTTCCATACATTGATGGGTAGGTGTTGTTATAAGTAAAAGTTCATTATTAAAGTTTCCTTAATTACTTAAATAACTATTTGTCCTTCGTGATAGGTCGCAGTGGCAGCTTATGGTCATCATTCCCAAACAATGTAAAATTATATGGTTTTGTTCGTTGCACAGGAAGATGAAAATTGACTTGAGAACCATGCTTCAAGGGTAAGTGTTTCTCCGAAAATGACTTTGAATTTTATGTTCACCTTAAACTTTTATGATAAATATAGTTATATTAATTTTACTTTGTGTTTTCAATCTAAATAGAGTTATTGGTAAATCTCGAGGTCAACTAGTTCAAATTTTGTATCCAAAGGTTGTAAGTCATTCATACTTCTAATTCATTTTCTATGTTATTGAATGATCTAAATTCTTGACTATTTATTTTTTCATTTTAGTGTAACCAGCAGCTAGATTCATGGGAATATGGCTTCTATTCATGTGTGGGATTAAGACCATCATTCGAGCTGTCATTACAGATGACTGGAATGAGGGAATGATGCATACCTTGAATACATTACAAATCAAATTCATCTTTAAACATATATGAAACCATAATGAATCTTTCTTCATTTTACAGCGCTTCAATAGTACATCTCCTATACCAGAGGACACAATTAGGCAGATAAGGCAGGAGTGGACAGCTTATCTTCTGCAAAGATGGAGCTAGGAACACTTATATTTGTTGTTGAACATTACTTAGGTTTAGTTTAAGTTTAAATTTTGATAGTTTTGGTATTTGATAGGTTTAGTTTAAGTTTACTTTCTTTATATGAAACGCATATATATATTATACTATATTGTTCTAGGACAATTTTATGTTTTTCAGGTGTGGTTTTATTGCAAAAATAAATTAAATTTTTAAAAATAAACACCCATTAGACGTCGGCTCGTGCATTAACCGACGTCTATAGACGTCTGTCAATGCACAAACCGACGTCCAATGAGTTATAGTGAACAAAACGTTTCAAGGCCTGTAGATGTCGAAGATGGCCACATCCGACGTCTATATAGACGTCGGGTATACCCTCTCTAACGTCTATATAGACGTCGAGTATACCCCCTCTAACGTCTATATAGACTTCGGGTGTATCCCTCTGACGTCTATAGAGACGTCAGATGTGGCCATCTTCGACGTCTGTATAGACGTCGGGGCAGCGTACCCGACGTCTAAGTAACGTCACCCACAAAGACGTCGGATACATATCGGACGTTAAAAGGCCAAAATAACAGACTTCTAAAGCTCTTTCTGCACTAGTGCTTAATCCTTGCACTCGGCAAGCCTTGTTATTACCGAGTAGCACATTTTCATGCTTCTTTTGCTCCAAACTTTCAAAGAACTCCTTCACCGGGCACATGTGATAGGTACAGTCAGAATCCATGACCCAGCTCCTTTGAGAATCTTCAGATGAAGCCACCAAAACACCAGCAGACTCATATCCCTCGGACGCCTCTGCCACATCCGCAGTTTCCTGTGACCGAACGGCTTTGCCCTTCTCTGGACAGAACTTCTTAATATGTCCAATCTTCTGGCACTTGAAACATATCACATGTTTCGTACCTTCGGGTTTTGGCTTCTTCCAATTTCCTTCCTACTTCTTCCCTTTGCCTTTCACTGCAACGAGCCCAGATGCATCCACCTCGGTTGCCTTTGAATCTTGAAGTTTTTGGAACTCCTTAGTTCGAATTAACGTCACAACCTCCTCTAAAGTAATCACTCGATCCTTACCATAGAGCAAGGCATCCTTAAAATGCTCGAAGATTCTTGGAAGCGCATTTAGAAGAATAACAGCCTTATCTTCATATTCCAACCTCGACAGGCTAAATCCACGACTCCTCGACAAGTTACTATCCATTGAGGACTTCCAGTGCGTGCTAGATCACATTGGCGTTTGGGACGAAGTATTGCCATTAGTGGAGTTCACCTACAACAACAGCTTCCAGTCCAGCATTGGATGGCTCCCTTCGAAGCACTTACGGCGTAAATGCCGCACACCACTTGGCTGGTTTCATCAAGAAGGAGAAAATGTTAATTTATTTGGACCAGAGCTCGTTCAACAAACGACTAAAAGGTGAAGTTAATTCAAGAGAGGTTGAAGACGTCTAGAAGCAGGCAGAAGTCATATGCAGATAAGAGGAGACGGACCTTAGAGTTCAAAGCTGGCGATCATGTCTTTCTTAGACTAAATCCAACTACTGGAGTAGGCAGAGCGTTGCGATCCAAGAAGTTATCTCCCCAAGTTCGTGGGGCCATATCAGATTATGAGAAGGATTGGACCTGTCGCATACGAGTTAGCTTTACCTCCACAATTGTCCAACCTTCTCCTGTATTTCACGTCTCGCAACTCAGAAAGTACGTAGCTGATCCCTCGCATATATTGGAGTTAGAGGACGTTCGTCTTCGGCAAGACCGAACGCTAGAGATGAAACCGGTTCGCGTTGAAGACGTCCGCGCCAAGTACTATAAAGGGAAGGACGTTCGGTTGGTGAAAGTGGTGTGGGACGACAAGACTGGCGATTCTACTTGGGAAGTTGAGGATGCCATGAGAGACTTATACCCTCATCTATTTCCTGGTAAGGTTTAATTTTCGAGGACGAAAATTTTTGTAGTTAGGGAGATTGTCACGTCTCATTAATTAGGTGATGACTCACCTCTCTGCTCTATTAATGCACTGTGACACGTGAGCAGTGCATCAATGAAAACGCACACACACCACTCTGCTTGCAGTTGCCAATGTCACTTTTAGAACATTCTAAAACGTTAATGGAAGACATGTGGCAGCAGAAGAATGGACACACGTCCTACCTGGGAAGAGAAAATTTATTTCTGGAAAACTCTTCCCCTTTTCTCTGCACACTTCATCTTCTTCCTCAACTCTCTGATCTTCCAAATTCTCTCCCTTCTCTCTAAAAACCATTCTCCTTCTCTCTTCTGCAACTCACCATTCTCTGCTCCGTTCACGTTTCAGCACCGTGAGGACGTCCCCTGCATCGTGAGCTTCATTTTGAACCGAACGATTTTGGATTCTGAAACGAGTAAGTTGCACGTCCTTAACTACTCTTCATTTTCAACATGCAAATCTCATTCTGAATTTGCATGCACCTTCTCTGAACCAATATTGGTTTTCTGTAATTTTTAGTTTAAGGAGTTTTGGGTTGAACGTTAAGGTCGAAAAAGATTGTACTGGCAATCGGGTGTTTCTTTCGAAGAACGAACACACTGCTAAATCCGGGTAAGGGAAGCTTATTAAGTTTAATTCTTGTAATTTAACTGTGATGTATGAAAGTGATGGGAATTAACATGTTTGTATGATGTCTGAAAATATGTATACAGTATGATTTTGATATTTGATTTTTGAAAGTATAGTGATATGATCTGAATTGATGCATGGAAATGATGAAATATTCTAGGGTTGATTAAATTGAAATGAACTTATGATGAGATGATGGTATGAAAATGTATGGATTGGTACATGATTTGAACACAAATTGATGTAAGACAGCATATACTGAAAAATGTTGTAACTGTAAATTGAATTGAATATGAAATTTTATGAAAATGAACGTTCGTATCGATACGGTCATTAACCGTTCGGTTTCGTAGTAATTTCTTTGAAGTTATCGAACCCTTTCATTGGAAAGGTAGATCCTGAGGCATGAACGCCCTACTATATATCGTATTACGTTTGAGCGTTCGGCCAGACGTAAAATCTTGGGGGGAGTGTTGTATGAGAATTTGAGAAGCCTGAAAAATACTACTTTGAACTCTTAGTCAAATTATAAAACATGAACGTTAAGTATATCATCTTAATTAAAATCCCAAATTTTATGATTTGGATCAGTGAATCGTCTCCACCTAAAAGCGTAGTCCTAAGTGGCGCTCGGTCTTAGACGCAACGCTCGTTCTAAAAGTATAAATGATAAGTGAGCGCTCGTCCTATCACCGAATGCTGGCCCTTTTCCGTAATTTTCAACGAGCTGTAATAACGTTCGTCCTGATATTGAAATAGCGTTCGTCCATCAATTTTAAAGCGTTCGTCCAATATCCTAGTAACATCTTCGTCCAATACTTCATAGTACGTTCGTCAAAACTTCAATTAAATGGCTTTTTCGTTTTCCGCATCGGTCATTGATGGCGTTTGTCTCCTGAATTATCTCGTGTTCGGTTTATTTATCTAAACAATTTGTGAAATTAAGTATCCACTGAATTCATTCCAGTATTATTGACTCAAGTTATTCTAAGATTTTCCCTCAGATCGTACTAGATTCAGTTCACTAACTGAGTCAAGTTATAATGAGTTCGTCTAATAACTGTCTTGGTTTTATTCTATCGTGAACTAGCCTCGCTTGGTAATGTGTTAACGTTCGTCCTCTATTACAAAGAGGGCTGACGTTCGTTCTTTATGGACGTGAACTAAGAATGAAGTGTGAATAAGATGAAAGATTAAGATGTGCGAATGATGTAAGAGATGAATTTATGATTGTTGGTTTTGAACGTAAGCGTTCCAGGGTGGAACGACTCTTGAATGGAATTGAGATTTGTAAGTATGAACGTGGTAAGCTTAGATGGTGGTATCCATGATATTCCGTGAGGCTCGTTCTCAAGTAGAGAGGAGTAGTCATGCGTGGGAATGGCAGGAGGTCTAGTCCATAACTGTAACTTGGACAGAACAACTACCTCAGGTGGCTTACTGATGAGCATTCCAGTACCCGCACCTGGGTGCACGGACGCCTTAGCTACACAAGATTCATACAGTCCGGAACGGTCGGTCTAGTATCGGATTTTGGGATGGAATAGATATATGAATTGAATGTATTGTTTGTGAATTTAATTGCTGAATTTGATAATAATGAAATATCTGTTTGACTTGAATTAAATTCAATAACTACCCTTGCATTTCCATTGTGTTGCTGTTTTGTATATCCGTCTTGTCAAATGCAACTGATCATCTGTGTGAATGTGAGCAGAGGGGAGATGCGTCTCTGGAGCAAACCTTGAAGAGGAATTTTGCTGAAGATAACTTAGTAGAAGTTGAGGTGAAGGCCGAACAGTAAAGGCGTTCGTATTTTAGTAGTGTATTATTAGCGAGCCGCTTAGAGCAAGCGTTTCCTTTTGGCTTGCGTTTGAATATTGAACGTTCGGTATTTTCTTTTGTAAACCGTTCGTTCTTATTATTTTTGTAGCGCTCGTAGTTTACGTGTATATGTAAGGCCGTTCGGCCATTTTTTGAACTTGTTCTCTGTTATTGTAAAACTGCTTTATCATATTATATATGTTAATATTCTATTATATAGTTGCTGACTGTATAATTTTGGGATGTTACTAGAGCATACAGATTATATTACCAATTTTGAAATAAATAAATTTAATCTGAGGATCTCTTAATGACTTGGTCAACATCTGTGAGTTGGTCATTTGATCCAACAAACTCAATACATATCTCTTTAGTCAACAACTTTTCATAAACAAAATGACAATCAATTTTTATATGTTTAGTTTCAATCTCGTGACACTAGATTTGAGCAATGTGGAGAACAACTTGATTATCGCAATACATATTCATAGTATGAATGTCACAGAAGTTAAGCTCTTGAAGGAATTGTTTCACTCATATAAGTTCACATGTGAGTGATGTCACTGTCCTATACTCGGCTTTAGCTGTTGATTGAGCTACTGCATTCTATTTATTGCTTTCTCATGAAATAATGTTTCCTATAAGAAAAACACAATATCTGTTAGTAGATCGTTTATCAATAGGAAAACCTGTCCAATTTGCATCACAGTACCTAGAGACTTGAATGTTTCCTCTATATTCATATAATAACCCTTGTTTGGGAGCCTTTTTGACATACCTTAAAATGCAAATGATAGCATTCCAATAGTCAACTCATGTGATTTTTAAGAGTGTCTTCAATAGGGTCTCATATTTTAGATTATGGTGAAATTTCAATTTCAATTTGGAGTGCTTTATGCATTTAAAACGTGTTTATCTCGTCATTTTTTTTAGTATAAAATTATCATTTGTTATAATTATTTATTCTTATAATAATAATTACTATTATTTTTATGTTATTAACATTATTATTTTATTTTTACTTTTAATTAAATGTTAGAAATTTAAATGTTCATCCCACTTTTTTACGTTATTATGTTTTGAATTTATTTATCTATTGATAAACAAACATTTTTTTTCTGGACATATTCAATTTTTATAAGATTAGTTTTGTTAGATACCACTCTAAAAGAATGTATTAAAATTAATTCTATGGAGCTTACACTTTGAATGGAAAAAAGTCACTACAAGAGGTGTTATCAGAGATGTTGATGGTGAATTTTTGTTTTGCCTTCTCCATGTGTAAGAGTTGATTCTGAATTATTTGCCATCAAGCTTGGCATGAATATAGACATATCAATGGATATAACAACTTGATTGTTGAAAGTGATTCGCTAACCGCTATCCAACTTATTAATTGGGGGAATCATCCAACAAAGACATCCATTTAATGCTCTAGTTTCTTCAATAATACATATGGGTTCCAATGTTAATTACATTACTTGGAACCACGTATTTAGAAACCATTTCTGTAAGAGATGGTCTTGCCAAATATGGACTATTGTTATCTTCAAACTCACGTGTTATACTTTTTAAATTTCTTATGAATTTTCTTCTTTTATCTTCTTGTGAGGATAAAATTGGAACAATTTATTATCGGTAAATGTATTTTCTTCTCATATTTTAGATGAGAATATTTCTAAATAAAAGAAAACATTTCTTTTCAATTTTGTTTCATTATAATTTTTTTATTTTAAATATTGTAAAGCATAATAACTACTACTACAAAATAGGTTTTTAAGTCTGTTAAATTTGACTTTTAAGTATGTTTACAATAGACTTAAATTCAGCAAACTAAATTTTAAGTGTTTGTTGCCAACAATTTTTAAGTCTGTTGTTGACCAACAACTTTAAATTTTAAATCTGTTGGTTGACCAACAAACTTAAATATTCGTACATAACATTTGTAATAAAATCGTACGAATTTAAGCCTGTGTGACCATAACAGATGTAATTTATTTTTAATTTATTTATTTAATTATGAAACCAAAACCTAAAATACAACAAATTTTCCAAACCATAATATATATTTCAAATTGTTCAATTCAAGTACATAATAAAGAGTTCTAAAATAAAAAATAAATAATAAGATGTCTAACATAAGGTGTGTAGTGTAAACAAAAGTTTAACTTCAACTTTTAAGTCTAAGCATATCTAAACACACACTTAATCAAAACCATCTAATTTCCATGTTAAAGGAGATACTTGTTTCATTGATATGTTTTCGGTGATGACCTCCTTTGATATTGGTGATTAATCATCAAACACCTAGTGTAAATAATTTATGCATGAATGATAGCTTTGATCAAATAAATCACATAGTACTCACATTTCCATGAACTAATCTACCTATTGCTATGTAATAAAAGAAAGGAAAATTAAATATAATAAATAATAAAATAAAGTGAAGAAATGTACTATAAAAGAAAATTAAGATAAATGTCAAGAAACGTTATTTACAATAAAAGTAC